GGCAGTGAGTGAGTCTTGGCGGACATGGGCACTGTTTCTCATAGACGCCTCGTTTTAAACACGTGGACAGGGGAACACGCTTACTGCCCATAGCTTTGTGCATTTGTCCAAATACTACGTAGGATTCGCTCCTAGACATGGGATCACTGGGCCAAAGAGCATCTGTGTTTACACCTTCAGTCACAAGCACACGGCACCTGATAAGCACTGGCCGGGCGACAGGGCTCTCTCCTGATAATGCGGGTTGGCTCAGTCCGCTCGCCTACAGGATGGGTACCTGGCCTTTCTCTAAGTAGACTTTGTTTCAAAAAACTATGCAGAAAGGCTAAACAAGTCCCCATGGACTCCCTGCCCCCTGCTTCCCCTCTGAGCGCCCTGCATTCCTGCGCTTCGAGGATCGCAGCTGGGGAACCCGCCCTGGCATATGGGTGTATGATAGTTTGATAAGCCTAAAGAGCAAACTCTCAACATATCACCGAGACTTGTGGGTCATGGTTTCCATTACTCCGTCGGGGCACCAGGGGTCCACGGCACCTAGAACTGAGCCGCATACACAGTTTCCTTGGGTTTTGCCAGGCCAGCCGGGCCCAGGGGTCTGTGGGGTCTCTGCTCAATGTTTCTCTCCCTACAGGTTGGCTTCTTCAAGCGGAACCTGAAGGAGAAGATGGAGGCCAACCAAGATGGAGGTACCCCAAACGGAACTCCTGGAGAAGGGTCTGAGTCGCCAGCCTCGAAGGAAGAGGATGCTGATCCAGGCTGCCTGAAGCCCCTCCGTGGGGAGGACCCCGAGGGGGTAGAGGCAAAGACTGAGGACCAGGACTGACAGAGGGGCTAAGCTGGATTCTGGACCCAGCCCTAGGCCTCTGTGTCCTGTTCTCAAACATAAACCTCATTCCCACTGGCCTCCCTTGGAGGCTCAGACTGAGGACTGGCCTGAGGGACAGGCCGGGAAGGCCACACAGGGAAGGCATTGGGACCATCAGATCAGCTTGGTTTCCGCAGAAGGAAAATGATGGAGCTTTGGAGAAACTGAAGGCCCAGAACCTGATGACGCTTCTGGCTCCCACATCCACCTGCCCTTGGACGCCCACAGTGGCCTCACGCGTGGAACTCTCTGGCCCTCTCTCCTACCTGGAGTCCAGTGGGCTTTCTGTTCTTCTGCTTGAAAGGGGATCTGATCTGGGTCACTGTGATGTTGTGGTAACCCCCTGGTTCTTTGGCTAGATTTCATCCACATTTCTTAACATGCCCTCGAAGCCCCTGCAAAGGTGGGCCCCTGTTGCCTTCCCCAGCCTCCTCTAGAGCCACCTCTCTTCCGTCCTAAGTTCCAGCCCCCTCCACCTTGCTTGTGGCAAACGGAGGGATGGATGGGAATGTAATGCAGTTAAATCTTCCATGTTCATCACGATGGGTCTGGAAAGCCGACTCAGGTGGATGAAGACCCTCACGGTTATGAGATATAAATAAATCTTAATACACATCCGCATGACTGAGCACAGGCCCTCCAATAACCACCACCCACCCCCATAAAGGAATGGTCGTAAAGAAGCCACCATAAAAGATGAACCATTCCTGCATCTGGCATCCACTCTGCCTGCAGGTTACCTGTAGGTGAGGGCAAGCAGGTTCTATAGCCCAACCCACCGTAAAGTGCAGCGAACCCTCTTCTGACGTTTCCTTCATTTCCTTCTGATGCGCATCATCCATTGCTCCCTGGGGAGGGCTCAGGGGCGTCCAAGGTCAACTAGCACTGAGTCAAAAAGACGGTACGCTTCATCGCTCGTTTATTATGTTACCCGCTCATGATATTGCCCACTGACTATGTAAGCTCTTTGAAGGGCCTGTAAGCCCCATGATATATACCTGTTGGAAAATACATTCACACTCTTGGTCCTGGTATAGGGGCCCCACTGTCTGCCTTGTTTTCCCCAATCGCAAAGTCGCTCCTAAGGACCCGTTCGACGTTGGGGACCTGTGCCTCGACACTCGCTCTCCTACCAAGCTTCCCCCCACCTCCCGCCTCACTCCCAGATGGCTCCCTCTGCCTGGAACACCCCACCTTTGCCCACTAGTTCTCGCTCAGCCCTCAGACTCAGAGCTCCACACCTGCAAGGTTCCCACCCCAGCTTACTTGGGTTCTCCCTTCCAACAGTCTGCCTTTTGCCTTGTGTTGCAAGGATCCTATTTGGATCGACTCTTAGATGCCTTACGCTTTATCTGGCTCTCAAAGTGAACCTCGTGAGGGTAGGTAGGAGCCTTGCTCTTGTTCACTTCGGTATTCCTGCCAAAGGCACAGGCTAGACGCTTCGTAGATGCTGGACACCACCCCCACGGATTAACGAGGGAGCCTGTGGACAGATGCAGGAAAAACGTGTGGGTGGCCCCAAGGCAGCTGCATCCTCTAAGGTGCACTGTCCCTGTCCTCCCAGCGTCCCTTGCTCCACAGCCTCTCCCAAGGCTCCAGCTTGCTGTGTGCAGTGGCCCTCATGAGACTGTGATGGGTGGGGACAAATTTGTTTGCCTGGATCCCCAGAGCCTAGCACAGTGCCTGCATAGATTTACCCAATAAATGTGAACATCTGCCCAATGTTGTGATTTTTGTCTTTGTTTTTATTTCT